TTTTGATAATCCACTCATGGATTGACGGGCACTTGGGTTGTTTCCACATTCTTGCAATAGTGAATTGTGCTGCCATAAACATTCGGGTGCAGGGAAAATTTCGTCTGGAGCCATGCCCAAGAAGCCTTGAGCAAGCGGATTCCTACAAAAAATTTTAAAAATTAAAAAATGAGCCGGGCATGGTGGCATGTGCCTGTAGTCTTAGCTATCTGGGGGGCTGAGGTGGAAGGATCGTTTAAGCCCAGGAATTCGAGGTTACAGTGAGCTCTGATTGTGCCACTGCACTGCAGCCTGGATGACAGAGCGAGACCCTCTCACAAAAAAAAAAAAAGTCCACACAATTTTGTCTCTGTTGGGAATTGCGCCTTTTCAGTTGACCCCGCCTTGTTTGAGGCAGCCCTCTGTGGCTTGCTACATGTCACTCTGAATGCTCTCTGAAAACCTTCTTTGTCTTAACCAGCCGTCCACTTCAGAAATGGTGGTGTTATTTTGAGGCAGGGCTTGGGATGCCATATAGAATAAAGCTATGATTGTATTAAAAACCAGAAGAGGATAAGCAGCTAACACAAACATGAAGAAGGCTGAAGCACAAGCTGTACCAGGGGAGAGAATGAGAGAATGCTTCGCTGAGACTGCTTTGTTTCTGAGGTCTGGGTACCCATGTACAGCCCGACAGGCTTGCTAGTGAGGTTTATAGTGTTCCAGTTTGGCAAACTTACTAAATTCTCAGGCCCAAGGCCCTGTCTCCTGAAAAGTGCCAGCCTAAGTGCCTAAGATTCCTTGTGGATAAAGAAGGCCCCATGCTGTGTTCTTGGGTTCTGATGGCATTGGGGACCTCCCCGAAACCCTATGCACATACATCCAGTGTCCTCCTCAGAGCTTAGCCCTAAAAATCCAAGCTTCTCTCCATAAATTCCAACAAACACCACAGCCTTCTACTCTGATACAGAAACTTCACACACTTCCTCCTTACCACTATGTTGCTTTAAAAACTTTTAGTAGAAGTCATATGCTCTGGGACACTTAAGTTATTTCAGTGACAATTTCTTACCACAAGGAACACTGAAATACAACAGGAAATGGTGAATATGAACAGACAGGCCTAGGCTAAATTTGAATGGTGGAAACTTTCTACCGAAATATTTTCCATGGAAGTTCACTTTCTTTAGTTTTGATGACTACCCACATGGATCATTGTGGCTAGATGCCATTGACCAACCAGGAAATTGGAAAATAAATAAATAAACTGTTTCATATGGCCTTTTAGGAACTCTGGTTATTTTCTTTTCTTTCTTTCTTTTTTTTGGTGGTAGCATAGGAAAGTGGTACTCCGATTCAAACTGAGCAAATGGAGGAGTTTGGAGTGCAGTATATTAATTATGAAAACTGTGATTATTATTTTATAAGAATGGTAGAGAAAACCTGACAGAGAGGGAAAGGAAGGGAATTAACATTTAGAGAGAACCTATGCCATGCCAGCATCTTGCTAGGAACATGACATAGAGAACGCTATTTAACTCTCGTAAGGTAGGTATTATTACCTACTCTCCATCCTGCCCCCTTAGGTTAGAAACGGGTTTGTTGAGGTTAATTTGCTCATGGTCACCCACTTATAGTGACAAAGCAGGAATTCAAATGTGGATCTTTTTAAACATTTATTATTTATTTTATTGTACATATTCATGGGATACAAGTGCAATTTTGCTACATTGACATATTGCATTGGGGTGAAGTCAGGACCTTCCGTGCATCTATCACTGGAGCAATACACGTTGTATCCACCAAGCAACTTCCCCAAATGTGGATCTTTTTTCACTTTTCCTTGGTGCCCTAAAGAGAAAGCTGTAGGGAGTCAATAAACTAATATTTCCATTATGTTAAGGTGGTGTTGTAATTAAAATAAATAGCACCATTCAGTAAGAAAAACCTATACATCTATAGAACACTCATTTCTAGTTACACTGTGCTATTTATTTTAATGCTAATTCAGAAGAACAGATAATCTGTAGTAGTTGTAAACAGCCCTTGAATATAAAAGTATTAACAATTTTACCCAAGTCCAAGAGGACCAGACCTTGGCATTCCTATGAGGTAGATGCAGCATTTAGAATTGTTCCCAGTGCCCCCTAAATCCTATTTTTCCCAGCCAAGGCAGACTCAGGTGGGGGAGATAAAAGATGATGGCTTTTGGACTAAGGGTCCAACACTATAAATTACACCAGGAGAAATAATGGAAGGTCTTTGAAGCTCACAGTGTCTGACTGATATTTTGGGTCAGCTTCAGCTCTGCATTCCACTTGTTTCTAGACAAAACTGTGGGAGAGACCTTAGGGAATCCCAAGGTCAAGATCTGTCGCCACCTTTTAGCAAGTAGAACAGAGGAAACCTAAGGAGTTATGGGTAGCGGGCAATGTGCTCAGTCCCACGAGCCACCCTACCCATTATTTTGCTAAAGGGATTGATGACTTGGCCTTAGAAGCTCCAGGGACAGCTAAGGTGAAAAAAGGAGGTGAACTTACACCCCAAAGAGCTGGAAGTAACCCCTTGACAATCTGCACCAGGCCAGCAAATGAAGCTGAAGACTTCAGCTCAGCCAAAGGCCTGGGAAGGAAACACAAATGCATGAAAAATAACTTGAACCTCATGGTTCTTTCAAAAGTCTGGCTGAAGTGGGAGTTAAGAGTCATATATCATTTATAGCACTCTTTCTTGTCCTTTATTTGCGGATGCTTACTCTTCTGAGGTTTAACCTTACACAAACTGAGCTTAGCTGCGGAAGCAAGACTGCACGGGCAGCTCAGCGTGAATCTGAAAAAACCCACACTGCCTCCTTGAATTCCCTTCTAGGTTCCCACCTGATGTTCTCTAGCTCCTCTGAGCCTCAAAACCCTTTATGCAATTCTTATGATACGCGTCGTAATTCCTTCTATTTTGGGTTACTTCTGTGCCTGCTTTAGTGACCAGAAGACCCTGACTCACGTGCGTGGCCCCAAAGCCCCCAGCCCGAAGCGTGGCTACCGGCGGGCGCGTCAGTAGATGCGGGTGGAACGGAATAGGATCCTCCAACGTCTTTTTCCACCTCTGATTTCCGTTAAACATTTGTTCTGGGGGCTGCGCGCGGCCTCCGCTCGGCCGGCGTCCCCAGGAGAGGTTGGACACCCGGAGCCGGCCGCGGAGAGCCGAGGGCGCACTTCCTGCCGCGCAGGGCGGGGCGGGGCGGGGCCGCCCACCTCCCCCAACGCCCCTGTCTCCGCCCCCTCCCTGGCGCCCGCGAAGCGCGGGGGCGGGGCCGCGAGGTGGGGCCGGCGTGGCGCTGCGGGTCGGGCGCCGCGGCCGAGCTGCTGGCGGACCCGCGGCGGGCTCGGGCGCGGAGCGGGGGTGCGCGGCGCGGAGCAGCTCAGCACGGCGCCGGCAGAGACACGCCGGCGGGTGGCGGCGGCTCCCAGCCCAGCCGGTGCAGGGCCTCCGGCCGAGCGGCGGCCGAACGGGGCCTCGGGGAGCCCGCTGCGGCTGGCGGCAGGAGGAAGCGGCAGCGGCGCGTCCCCGGAGGAGCGCGCCATGGCGGGCGGGCCCCCCAAGGCCCTGCCGTCCACGGGGCCCCACTCCCTGCGAGACATGCCGCACCCGCTGGCTGGCTCCAGCAGCGAGGAGGCCGTGGGTGGCGACAGCACGCCCAGCCCGGACCTGCTGATGGGCCGCAGCTTCGGTGACAAGGTGAGGCGCTTGGGGCTGGGGACTGGGAGGCTCATGTCGTTCCCGGGGAGGGGGATGATGGATCCGGAGCCACCCTGGGCCTGGGGCCGCGCCCACCCTGGCGCCCCTTTCTGGGGGACGGGCGTGCCCTCGCCCCTAGAGCCTTCGGAAAGAGCGTCTCCTATGCCGCCTCCGCGGGGTCGCAGCCGCAGGGGGAGCGGCCAGAGGGAACGGGCTACCCTGGCTGTGACTGGTCGCGAGCGCCTGTGACAGCTGGTGGGGAGGGGTCCCGCCTGCGTGCTGGCGCCGGAGGCGTGTGTGCAGTGCTCGGCGTCTGTGTCCTGGGATGGGGTCCCAAGTTGCTCCAGGTGCATCTCTGAAGGCTGAGCTGCTGAATAACTTGTAGCTCCTTCACTTTCCTGAGACTGCAAGCAAGTAAGAGTTAATGGCTTTGCGCTGGGAGGACTGGGCGGCCTTGGTCTTACTGCTAGCTAGGGTCGTCTTCTTCCCCTCAGTCTGTCATGTGGAGAGTGATCTTTGTTTAGGTTTGTTGTTTGCCCTGAGGAGTCACCTGACTCAGACCCCAGCCGGCGGCGGGAGGAGAGTCTCGCTGTGGTTTTCTGTCTGGGGCTCCATTCACCTCTTTCGGCCTACCACACTATTTAGGTTTGGCAGAGGCTGGTTTTGTGGTTGATGGAAAGAAAGCTCGCCCTTTGACCTTCTTTGTGCAGAGGGAGGCTCCCGATTCCCTCAGAGCAGCGCAACCCTCCTGCTGCTTTGAGAGACAGCAGAGTCCAGTGAGGGGTAAGGGGCGGCATACCCCCTCCCCCATCGCCATTTCTGTTGCGACCGGGACTTGAGCAGTGATTGTATCAGCGCTCCTGGTGCCATTTAGTCACTAATTGCACAACCTAGAATTGTTCTCAGCACTTGTGATCAGGATTTCCTCCTAGTAAAATACTAAATGCATTCCTCCTTGTCCCAATATTAATGGAGTCAAGGCACCTACCTTTCTTTCCCCCTTAGATGGGAGAGCATGCGGTAACAATGAGTAGGAGAAAATACAATTTGCTGGCTTTACAATCAGAAGGGCACTGAGCACTCAAAATGGCTAGGGAGTGGGGATTAATGTACCTTCCAGAGAGGGGTTGGGAAAGCAGGGAGTGGGGTGTAAAGCATTGGGAACAAGAAAACTTAAAAAGGTAATGAAACCGGTGGATTGATCAGCTATGTGTGTGTCTTTGTCATTATTCTCTTTATTTTATAGAAGATTATAGACTATATAAAGGCTTATGTTGCTTAGAGATACCTTGCTCACATTTGACTTTGAAAAAGTAATTGTTGAAAGATTGAGTTAATTTGCTTTCTTATGGACAGAAATTGATCTTAAATGAATGTGGTATGGGAACTGAGGTTAAACCTTCTGCTTTCCTTCTCAGTTCTGTATAGGATAATGAATTCATTATCTATTGATGTGTAACAAATTACCCTAACATTTACCACCTGAAAATAGTGTCTGGGGGTCAGATAATCTGGGAGCTGCTTACCTGGGTGGTTCTGACTTAGCTGTTCGCTTGGGCTGCAGTCATCTGACGGCTGGAGTCAGGGAGGAACCACTTCCAAGCGCACTCAGTGGCAGTTGGCAGGCCTTAGCTACTTTGCATGGGGCTGTCCCATGTGGCAACTGGTTTCCCCCACAGCAAGTGATCCAAGAGAGCCCAAGACTCCAGCCAGTCTTATATAACCTAATCTTGAAAGTGACATACCTCTACCACATTCTATTGGTTACACAGACTGACGCTGGTACAATGTGGGAGGAAGGTATGAATATCAAGGTGTGAGTATCAGGAGGTGGGGATCACTGAGCACATCTTGAAGGCTGGCTACTACAGATAGCTGTTTTATTTATTTATTTCTTTTTTCTTTTTCTCTCCCTCCCCCACCTGCCCTCTTCTTCCAAATAGCTATTTTAAATATTTCCTTAATGATCTGCTCTTGGATGATACCTGACTGGGGAGTATGGGCATTTTACTGATAAGTACTGAGAGGACAAATGACCTATACCACCCACATCTGGTTAGTGGGCAGGAAGTCAGTCCTAAGTCTGATTACTTTTGGTTTCCTTTACAGGGTCAGTTCTGTGAGAGAGACAGTCCTGAAGACATTATTATTATTATTATTA